CCACTCTCTCTTCTTTAGACTCAGAATATGCTGACCCTTCTCTGTTTTTTAAAAACCAAGCTCTCTCTGCACCTCCATGTTACAGCTGCAAAAACTGAAATACGGAGAAACTAAATAACTTATCAAAGGTCACTCCATTAACAGCGGGTTGAGCTGGGTCCAAGGCCAATGCTCTCAGCCAGGGTAGCGTTAGCTTCCTACGTCTAGATTATGCCCTGTTCATTCTCACTCAGTCCTGGGGGCTGCTGCTCTCTGTGAAATGCTCCTCCTAGTGCTGCCCAGGTCTGCTTCTCATCATCACACCTCATCTAAAATATCACCTTTCTAGGGAGACCCTCCCCTACTACTGAACTCAGCACAGCCCCCAGCCATTCTCTACTACCTGACCCTACTTCAGTTCCTTGCATCTACTTACCAGTCTGATATTTTTCTAGTTATTTCACTCACGTGTTTAACGTGAACTTTGCTCTACTATGCAAGATCCCTAACAGGAGTGATCCCTAACTGCTGTACATTCACACCAAGATCAGTGTCTGACACGTGGCGATGTTTTTGATAGTACCTCTGGACTTTGTAGCAGTAATGTTAAAGGACAAGGAGACGGGCACCCCCAAAACTGCCACCTCTAAATAGGTTCTGCCACCCACCGCTTCAAGACAAAACATGCTCTAGCATTTAAGACCTTCAGTGGAAAGGAACTTTAACATAATTAGTGTGCAATACAGAAATGGGGAAGAATATAGTTTCCAAATCAAGCACCCAAAGTTACCTATACCCTCATGGGTAAATGCCCAGCCAAACAGGGTAGGCCCCAGCAGGGCCTCCGATGCCTGAAAGCCAGCACAAGTCTAAAGCACTGTCTGGTGGCGACCCATAGAAAAGGGTCAGAAACAGCCAGACAAGTCTGAAAGGAAAAGAGCAAAATCAAAATCAAGACCAACAGTGGTTAAAGACAGCACTATCAAGCTACCACCAGCCACTGCAGCTTGAGTTCGATCCCTGGCGGCCAGGGAGAAACCCACATGGCGCAGCAGACCTCTCCTGTTTTGCCTGCTGCTCCCCTCAGCAGTGTATTTCAGTAGATCTGCCTGTTCTGCTCCCCGCTCTGTCTCTGGTGAATCCTCTCATCCCTTGCACCTCTGGCTTACATCCCAGTTCTTGTATGCATGAATAAATAAATCTTTTTTAAAAAAAGATCAATGCTGTCATTGTTAACCACCCCATGGGTCTCTCACCCACATCTATTTCAACCAGTCCGAGCCAAGAAGCAAGTGCAGCTTCTTTACATGTCTCTCTGCTCCATGTGCCTCCTCCAAGTCTCTTCCTGGCTCTCCATCCTGCTTCCTTCCTTCCCCAGTCTCCTCTGCAGCTTCTTCTCCCTACTCAGCTCCACCCTCTCTTGGGTGGTGCAGGGAACCTGGAATGTCCCTTTTTCCTGGAGACCACCCTGTTACAATAACAGATATCATAAAAGCAGTGGCAGCTGGCCTTGGCTGAGAGACACTGTGCTTCTGTCACTGTTAATCATTTACATATCTCATTTCATCAAACTGGCCCAATGACCCATGCTGCAAGGCAAAGAGACTCATCGCCATTTTATAGATAAGGAAACTGACTTCACAGAAATTAAATAACTTCCAAGGTCACATAGCTAGTAAGGCAGAGGAGCTCAGAACCCAGTTCTTTCTAACTCCCTAGCCCATGCTCTCCCAGTCCGTGTGCTGCCCTGTATGGGGTAATTCAAAGGGCAGCTCTCTAAGGCCTGTGGCTCTGCCTCCCTCCTGAAGTCAGAACCCAGACCCCACTGGATGTCCAGGAGACTGCCCCTCATCATCCCCTCCATGTACTCCATACCTTCATTGTCTTGTAACCTAACTTCCCGCCTTTCCCACAGAACTCAACTGCCCTTTGGGAAGTCTTTCTCTATTAGTGCTATCAGTTTCCTAGGTTTCCAAACTTTGAAAAATTCTAGTGAATCTTAGTCTTCCCTGACCTTTAAATTAAGTGCAAATTCCTAAACAGTTTTGAACATCTTCCAAGACTTAACTCTTCTTCACCTTACCTGTATCACTCTCTCTCCCTCTCACTCTGGACACAGGACTTCTTTCTATTCCTCCAGCTTGCAAGGGGCCTACCTCAAAACCTTCACGTATGCATCTCTTATATCTGGAACAATGCCTGATCCTGCCTTCCTCCTTATCCTTCAGAATTCACCCTAACCCTAACCCTAACCCAAACCCCTGCCCACCCGGGCCCCGCACGCTCGCCACCGCCACTGGGCCTCCCCGGTGGCGCAGTGGTTGAGCGCTGGGTTGCGAAGCTGCCCTCAGCCTCTGCGGTGCTGGTTCGATCGCCGGCTGCTCCCCGGCCGCCAGAGGAGGGTCCCACATGGCGCGCAGACCTCTCCTGCCACCCTCTGCTCCCCTCAGCAGCGTACTTCGGTCCTTCTGCCTGCTCTGCTCCCCCCTCTGGCTCTGGTGAATTCTCTCGCCCACGCTTCTGACTGTACCCAGTGCTTGTATAAATAAATGAATAAATATTTAAAAAAAAATTCAGCCTGTCTCTTGTTTAGGAACACCTTCCCAGATCTCTAGTCTATTCTCCTTTGAGGCACTCACTATAGCTGCATTAAGTGATTGGTTGTCAATTGATTCATAAAGTTCCTGATTTTCTTTTTAAAAATTTTTAAAGATTTATTTTTGCATAGAAGAACTAGGGTGTAGGCCAGAGATACAGGGGGTGAGAGGATTCACCAAAGACAGAGTGGCACTGCTAAGGGGACCAGCGGGTGAGACAGGAGAGGTCTGCTGCGCCATATGTGGGTTAGCTCCCTGGCCGGAGATAGAACTCTGGTGGTAGATAGTGCTGAGACTTAACCCCCTACACCACCAGGGAGGCCCCAAGTGTCTGATTTTCTACCAAGCTAAACACAAAAACAAGGTAAAGACTAGGTCTGTTTCATTCAATGCTGCATCCCCAATGCCTCACACGTAGTAGATGCTCAGCCAATATTCATTCATCTTCCCTTACTTCCAGCCAGTCAGTTTGCTTTGTAGACTCCACCTTTACCACATTTCCCTTAGTAGAACATAAGCTCCATGAGAGCAGGGACTTTTCATTCACTAGCATCAAAAGTATTTGTGAAATTAATACAGCTATCACTTCCTTTTCATTTCTAATGCCCTGCCCTCCACATTTCATTAGAACATCAGCTATGACTACACACTAGGCTTCTAGATGCCAGACTGTTCTTCCAGTCCCACAGCTGACACTGAGCAGACCAGCAGAGAAAGGAAGAGACAGACCTCATCCCAGTGACTGTGACGTTTGAGTTTCCTCACTGGGGAGCTTGGAACCTATGCAATATTGTGGGACTGTTTCATTGTGCTGTTTTCTCCTTGTAAAATACGTAATTCAGTATCTTACAACTGGTTGCCTTTGTGGTTTCTCGGGTAAAGGCTGGAGTAAAAGTGACAGTGGGGGAAGGGTATGGACTTTGGAGACATGTCCAGGAATTCTGCTTATTGGCTGTGTTTCCTTTCCTGCCACTTGTAAAACAGGAACAAAATGCTGTTTTGTTTGCAGGCAACTCCGGCTCAGAAGATGCTCAATAAGTGGGAATTTTTGCCACAGCCTTTTATGCTACCAACTTGTACATGCAGATACAAAGGTGCCGTGTAGGCAGCTGTTCAGGCTCCACAAGAGACCAATGGCTCCACGAGGCCAAGGAACATGTATGTCTCAATCATCTTTAAATACCCATAGTCCAACTTAGTCAAAGAAAAATGCATAGCTCAGCACCAAGCACCAGCTCAACTAAGGTGGCAATCTGGCCCGTGGCTCCAGCGGCATTGGCCTGACAATACTCACTAGGCCCGACCACAGGCTAACACCTGCCCTTGGCGGAGAGAAACGCCAGCCCCTGGTCTCAGGAATCTGACAGCTTTGTCCTTTGTGACAGCGCCACCTAGCGAGGACCTAGAGGCTCTGCCGCTTGGTCCCGGCAGGGCCAGGACCACTGCGACAAGGTGTCAGTGCCGGGTGGGGGACGTGGCGCGCTCGAGTCGGTCTTCTTCCATCTTACCGCCAGGTTCATGGTTTAGACTAATGAGGTACTCCTGCTGCCACACTGTACAGCAGCCCTTCCCCAACCTCAGGCCCAAGGAATCTGATAAGAAAGGTCGGCTACTGACTACCCCTCAAACCTAGCTGACCAGCGATCTTCCACACACTTCACACTTCCACACACACTGACCCCTTCCTTGGGAGTAGGCAAGCAGGCGCTACCCTCACGACAGCCGTCCCACAGATGTGGAGACTGAGATTCGGGGGGAGGGTGATTAACCCAAGGTCACCCAGCGGCGGGGCCAGGACCAGAATCCAAATCACTTCTTAGAAGGCGGTTCCAGGTTCTTTACTCAAACACACGAACCGCATTCCGTGCGGCGCCGGAGCCTGTCTAACCCCGCGGGGCACAGAGGCCGGACACCTGCGCCGAGGGCCAGCGCGGAGGCGCAGCAGCAAGACCGCGCAGCGGCGACCGCGGCTCTCCCGTCTCCCCCCCGCCCACCCGGGCCCCGCACGCTCGCCACCGCTCGGAGGCGGGGGACAGGGGCTCAAAGCAGGAAGCAGGGTCCCGCGCGGGTAGCGCCTGGGAACACGCGGCGCCAGGTCACGTGAGAGGGGAGCGCCGGCGAGGGCCGTCGCATGCACGCACGCAAACGTACGTAAACACGCACAGAGATACTCAAAGGGGCGAGCCCCGAGCCCCGGGTCACGTGTGGAGGGCGGCGGCGGCGAACAAGGGGGCGGGAAAGACGGAGAAATCACGTGAAGGAGGCCGGAGAGGGGCGGTCACGTGACGGGGAGGGGCGGGGCCGCCGGAGAGGAGGAGGAGGAGGAGGGGCGCGCGGCTTCCGGCGGCTGGGGGGGGCCGGCGAGCGGAGGGGGGGGCCCTGTCCCGGAGGTGGCGGCGGCGCCATCTTGGCGAAGGGGGGATCAGGAAGTGCGGACCGCGGCGGCGGCGGCGGCGGCGGAGCCCGGAGCGGAGGCCGGAGGCTCCCGGCCCGCCGGCCCCGGAGCGGAGCGGAGCGGAGGATGCAGCAGCCGCAGCCGCAGGGGCAGCAGCAGCCGGGGCCGGGGCAGCAACTGGGGGGCCAGGGGGCGGCGCCGGGGGCCGGGGGCGGCCCGGGGGGGGGGCCGGGGCCGGGGCCCTGCCTGAGGCGGGAGCTGAAGCTGCTCGAGTCCATCTTCCACCGCGGCCACGAGCGCTTCCGCATTGCCAGCGCCTGCCTGGACGAGCTGAGCTGCGAGTTCCTGCTGGCCGGGGCTGGAGGGGCCGGGGCGGGGGCCGCGCCCGGACCGCATCTCCCCCCTCGGGGGTCGGTGCCTGGGGATCCCGTCCGCATCCACTGCAACATCACGGTGAGGACCCCCTCGCGTGCGCCTCTCTGAGGGCCCCTTGTCAGGGACCCGGGATCACCCCACACAGCTTTTTGCTCTCGAAAGACCTCGGAGGCCGAATCCCCTCGCGGGGCTCGGCTCCTTCGATCCCGGTTACACTTGTTTCTGCTGCTTGAGGTTCTACCCTGCACCCAGAATCTCTTCATTGACTTAAATAGTGAGGGACACCCCGACATATGGCGCCTGGACTACCCCTTTCCACTAATCCACCCTTATCCCAAGGTTCATGATTTTGACTCATTTTGACTTCTCCACGACTTTGTCTCGCCACCTAGGAATGCCCCGTTCTTCCCCTGACTCATCTCCAGGTTCTAGGCATCTTCACTGACCTCAGCTGGAGAGACCTGGCTTGGATCTCTGCACATTTCAGTGATGCCCCTGCTCAGTAATACCTTTGACTTAAGAAGTTGCCACCTGTGGGAGCCCTGCTCGGGCATCTCTCTTGCAGCTCCCTTTGCTCTCTGAATTTTACCAAGTGACAGTTTGCAGTTCACTGACTCCTTCGCTTTCCCTTCTACTCTGACCTCTCACTCTCCTCCTTTTGCCCCAGCTGGTAGTAGATCTGCCACTCCCCTCCTGCTCCCAGTGGCTCTCTCCACTAGTCCTGGGTTGTTGCCTTTCCTGGTGATGATGTGTGAGGGTTACCCCATTTGTTCTGAACGGTAACCATTTCTTCAAGTGAACATCCTAAGCACGCCAGACTAGGAGACACCTTACATGTCTCCTGCTGGTCTACCCTCAAACATACCTTAAAGAGGGCTGGCCTCTGCTAACCCCGGGGTGTGTGGTATTGCTTGGTGTGTCACTTCCATGGGCTGTTATAGTGTTCTCCCTACCGGTGCACTAGTTGGAGAGCCAGGGGACAGCATTTTACCCAAGCAGGCCAACTGCAAGAGGAGTCATCTGAGGAAAGACGGATTTGTGAATTGTGTGATACTTGGGGGGCTGAATTCAATGTGCATGGTTCTTGTTTTCTGTCCCTTCCCTTCATCAAACCAGGCCAATGTGTGGGTTCATTGGTAACACACCAAAACTTGTGGGTCCCATTTTCCACCCCTGCCTTTTTTTCTGCTGAAAAGTTAAAATCGAGGGACTAGGTGTGGCTTAGTCGGGTGAGACTTGAGCATCTTTGGTAATTTGTTTTCCTCCAGCACAGCTAAGGTTAAAGTGGGTAAGATTTCTTTGGCATGTGGGGAAACCTAAGGTGTTAATTTTGTTCCTGAATTAAGCTTCCGATTCTGTAAGGGTAGGTTTGCTCCCATGGTGCTGCCCTTCCAGTTGCCATAGGCCATCTACTGTCTTTGTCCCTGGAAGGAGGTTGATCTAGGAGGTTCTCAGTCAGACTCTCTGTGGCCCGGAAAAAGGAGACATGGCCTGAACTGGCCCCCTTGGTTTGGGCAGAGGGGGAGTCTGGTCAGGCTGCACTTGGCACTGTGGCTCAGGAATGCTGGGAATGTCAGCAGCGTAGGCTTCTTTCTTGCAGCCTGCCATGTGGAGCCCTACGGCCTACGCCTGGACTGAGAGGGTGGCAGGTTCCCAAGGGAGAGTTGGGGAGATTGGCCTTTGAGGGGTTCTACTGGGGGTGGGGAATTCGTCCTGCTACCCTTTTACTTTTAGGTTCTGGAGATGTAATCTACTTTTTATTTCTCCTTCCCCAGCTAAAATTATAGTTAACTATATAGGCTCTGCTTTTTTCCACATCAGTGTGAGTGTGATGAGCTGATCCTTTCCTGGACTGCTTGTGGAGTTTGAGAAGCAGAGGCTTGGCGGACTCTCGGGGGTGGGGCAAGAATGGCACCTTGCAGAGGTAGCACAGTGGATGGGAGGCCTTCCTCACTTCCTCAGAGTTTGGTTGTGCTGCTTTCCCTGATGTTTACTCTGATGGAAAGAAAGAAAAGGGTCCGGGCTTCTTGAAAAGGCCCTCCCAGGGACTTTTTCTTCTAGTCTAGTGTACATTAGGGAGCTGCTTGGTTAGATAGTAACTTGAGGCGGACTTTTATCTGTGTGAGGGAGGGGTCAGCAAAGGAAGTAAAAGTCTTGGAGAACAGAGGGCTGGCAAAATCTAGCTTTTTCCAACCACCCATCTTGACCACTTTTCCTGCTCTTTTCCCCTCAGGAGTCGTACCCTGCTGTGCCCCCCATCTGGTCGGTGGAATCCGATGACCCTAACTTGGCTGCTGTCTTGGAGAGGCTGGTGGACATAAAGAAAGGGAATACTCTGGTGAGGGGGCCAGGGTGTTGGGGTGGGGCTGCATTTTCCTTCAATGGACCCCCTGTCATGAAGATACCATGTGAAGGGGAGAGATGGCTGGTATACCAGGCTCACCATTGTGGGGGCAAATTTCTTAGGGGAGTCGCTTACTAAAGTAGAGGGAGAGCACTGTTTGAGCCCCAGGATTGGTCCACTGGAATATTTCCCATAGATACTTGGTCTCTTAAGGTTTAGAAAACAAGCTACTAATTTGGGGTCTGAGCTAAGAGTTCATCCACACACCTGTCACCTGTCCAAATTGGGGTGGGGAAGGAGTATTTGATGTTGCTGTGGTCCCCTACCCCCAGCTATTACAGCATCTGAAGAGGATCATCTCCGACCTGTGTAAACTCTATAACCTCCCTCAGCATCCAGATGTGGAGATGCTGGATCAGCCCTTGCCAGCAGAGCAGGTGAGCAGCTGAAGGGCTCTGGGCCCTGTTGTGTAGAGTTGCCCACAAACTGCACTCAATAAACATGTATTCTTTAAGAGGTATCTGTGGTAGTTTCCATGCCACCCAAACTTACTCCAAACATACACATATCGTGACTCTTGGCCTCTTTCCTCCTCCAGATAGGGATCTTGCTTAATGGGGCACTAGTGGTTTCATCTGTCCCACCAAAACTCACTCTCATAGGCAGTATTCCTCAGATCGAGAGGGACGTGGGAATATTTACCTTTAGTGTTAGCCGTTGGTGGCCATTGAAGACCAAGACCCCTTACTAAGAACCAAGAGGGACAGTCAAGTAAAGGAGGTGTTCTTGGGAAACTTTATTTATTTTTTTTTAAGATTAATTTTTATTTATGTATATAAGAGCTGGGGTACAGGCCAGAGGTGCGGGAGTGAAAGGATTCACCAGAGACAGAGTGGGGAGCAGGACAGGTGGATCTACTGAAATACACTGCTGAGGGGAGCAGCGGGTGAGACAGGAAAGGTCTGCTACACCATGTGGGTAGCTCCCTGGCCAGGGTTGAACTCAGGGTCCAGTGGCTGGTGATAGCTTGATAGTGCTAAGACTTTAACCCCTGCGCCACCAGGGAGGCCCTCTTGGGGAACTTTAACAAGGGTTTTGTGAGATAAGTGACAGAAACAGCCAATTTGCTCCTTACTTATTCTTTGGCATATGGTGGAAAGAGAGGAATGAGCTGATAGAGAAATTCCCAGGGCTGTTGCTTCCACTCAGATCTGACTGGCTGGCAGCATTATGGGCACAGCTTCCAGACCTGGAGGCTCAGGGTGGGAGTAGGTCAGAGGCTGCATTCTAGGAAGCCACGGGGGCTCTGATCTCCATTTTCCCCTCCCCCACCACAGTGCACACAGGAAGAAGTGTCTTCAGAAGATGAAGATGAGGAGATGCCTGAGGTAGGTTTGCCACCTGATGCAGCATTGGCGGGAAAACTTCTTTTCAGTCAGCAGCATTGAGCACCCACTGTATTCGGAGCTCCAGTCTAGAGATGGGGAGAGAAAAATAACTACAGAGTAAAGACAGATTTACTGAACTGGCGGAACAGCTGGTATATGGAGGAAACTGGGTGCCCACATTCAACCACTGAGACAGTTAAGTGCAAATCTGTTAAAACCAGTCAACAAATTAAGGTCAGATAGCTTTGGAGTCAGATCTGACTCTGCACTCTGGATCACTTAGCTGTCTTAATTGGGGAATTTCAACCTAATCTCACTAAGCTGCACTTTCCTTATTTATGAAACAGGATTATAATACCTACTGCATGTGGTTGTCTTGAAGATTAAATGAGGCACTGCACATAAAATGCTTCATATAGTACATAAGTGCTAACTAATTATTTTCTAAAAACATGCTTTTGCAGAATATAACATATAAGAATGTGTACTTCAGCATCCAGTGGAATCTGATTGTCTTAGCTCTGCTAAAGTTGTATGACTTTGGGCATGATGATAATACCCCTAGATCTTAGTTTCTTGATCTGTAGTAGTGATAGAATAACGGCGTGGTGCTTGTAACGATTAAATGAGCTCCTATATACAGTGGCTAGTACAGTACTTAACAAAGTAAATTGATTCCATAGATGTCAGCAATTATTGTAATAATACAGGTCGGTGTTACCATGTAATATTAGGTGGTGCTGATCATTTTTCTTCCTAGCATTGGTTCTGCAACTTTTGTAACTTTGTAAGGATTTTAAGATGGACAAAAGGTTAGTGATTGGTGAGACTGTCCTCAGTGTACAGCCCTGTGTGCCTCATCTGACTGCAAGGGCCATGCCCTGGATATGGGCGCCTCCTCCCCCTGCTGCGAACTGCTTGCTTGCTTAGAGCAGGGTGATTAAGGAACTAACTCTGTTGTTGTCCTCCACCATCTCCCGCTCGAGACCACCTTCTTTATTCCCGTCGTGGCAGTGGGTACCTCCACATGCCTGATTCAGGCCCTGCGCTTACAGGGAGGGCATATTTCTGATCTGTTTCTTTCTTAGACTTGGGGTCCCAAATGCTCCTGGTACAGTAGTCACCTGGTGAAACATGAGCTTTGAGTCACACTGTCAGGCCAAAGTCATTCTAGGAATTAAGTAAAGTCACTGCTGCCAAGGGAGAGTTTGAGGGAAGGTTGTAGCAGGGTCATATTGGGGAACTAGAGGGCCCAGTCACTGCTTGCTTTCCCTAGAGCCTTCTGTAGTTCTGCAGCTTGAGAACTGAAGAGAAGAGACTTGCCTTGTACTTAGATTGTGGAGGGAATGGGCCTGGGAATTGTTCCAGAAATGGAAAGGGTATTGTATTCATTAGTCTTCCCGGATAGACTGCTATTCCTACAATTCTAGACCAAATGGACCAGCAAAGTGATTGCCCTTCTCCACAGCCTATGTTGGTTTTTCTCCTCTGTCCCACTCCAACCCACACCTCCCACAGGACACAGAAGACCTAGATCACTATGAGATGAAAGAAGAAGAGCCAGCTGAGGGCAAGAAATCTGAAGACGATGGCATTGGAAAAGAAAACTTGGCCATACTAGAGAAAATTAAAAAGAACCAGAGGCAAGATTACTTAAATGTACGTGCTTCTAGGTAGACGCTGGGTGGGGGGTTGATGGGGACTGGCTGGGAGGTGGTAAGCCACTGCATATCAGTCTGGGGAGCAGACTCTTTTTTGGGGTGGGTAATGGGTATATCTAATCCTTGCCCAAATCCTGGGCAAGCTGCCAGACTGCCCCTGAAGTCTAGTATAAGTGTTCCTAAACCGCGTGACCGTGAGCTGTTCCTGTCATCTCTCCCTTGCATGCAGGGTGCGGTGTCTGGCTCGGTGCAGGCCACTGACCGACTGATGAAGGAGCTCAGGGATATATACCGATCACAGAGTTTCAAAGGCGGTGAGTTTCCCTCATGAAGGGGGCTGAAACGGGAGCTTCTTGTTAAGAAGGACATGGTGGTGGCAAGGGGCCCCAAGAAGTTCTGGGGTACACAAATGCTTGTAAACTTGCCAGGCTAAAAATGGAACTCCTCAAGCCCCGTGGCTTAGATTGAATGAATGTCTATCTGGGGTGAACTTGGAGCTTTTGATCTTTTCTCTGAGTCCAGGAGAGGGATTTGCCTCAGGGACCACTCACCTCCCGGTAACACTTGTCTTTCCTCGTTCCAGGAAACTATGCAGTCGAACTCGTGAATGACAGTCTGTATGATTGGAATGTCAAACTCCTCAAGTGAGTGGGGACTGTGGGGCTGAAGAAGTGGCGTGTGAGTGAGGCTAGTATGGTGGGTGTCTCCAGGGCATCCCGGCGGCTTATTAGTCAGAGGGTGCGGGGAGTGGGCGTAGGCAGTGGTTTGCCCATCTCCTGCTGGCCTGGGGAGTGGGCGCCACCGGTAGGCTTCTGCGCTGGGACCAGGAGTCTGAGGGCAGGCTCATTGCTTCGCAGAGTTGACCAAGACAGCGCTTTGCACAATGATCTTCAGATCCTCAAAGAGAAAGAAGGAGCCGACTTCATCCTACTTAACTTTTCCTTTAAAGTAAGACTGGCTTCCTTTGCAGTCCCTCCCTCCTTGACCCAGGCTTCCTTCTCCACCTTTCAGTCCTGTGGAGGACGCTGGCCTCCCCTTCCTGATTGTTGCTTCTGTCTCTCAGGATAACTTTCCCTTTGACCCACCGTTCGTCAGGGTTGTGTCTCCAGTCCTCTCCGGAGGGTGAGTGGCTGGGCAAGGGAAGAGGGCAGCTCCTATTGCAGAGGGCGAGGAAGGGACTTGGTGCTTCTTCTTTTTTTTTTTAAAGATTGATTTCTTTATACAAGCACTGGGTACAGTCAGAAGTGCGGGAGGGTGCTAGAATTCGCCAGAGTGGGGAGCAGAACAGGCAGACCAACGAAATACATTGCTGAATGGAGAAGCGGGCGCAGCAGGAGAGATCTGTGCGCCATGTGGGACCCTCGCCGGCGGCCAGGGATCGAGCCAGCGCTGCAGAGGCCACGGGCAGCTTTGCAGCCAAGCGCTCAACCGCTGTGCCACCAGGGGAGGCCCAGGGACTTGGTGCTTCTGCCAGCACAGCTGATTGACCTTTCTTCTGCAGGTATGTTCTGGGCGGAGGTGCCATCTGCATGGAACTTCTCACCAAACAGGTGAGCCTGTCTCTTGCTCTTGGCTGGGCTGGCCTGGGCAGGGTTAGGCTGCACTTCACACACACACCCCCGTGGGCTGGGCCATGGGCGTAATGTGTTCTTTCATTCTGCTGGGCAGGGCCTGCACCCTCTGACCTAGGCAAACGGGTGCTGGCTGTTCTGGGAGTGAAGGGCAAGGGCAAGTTTGCTGTGGGAGAACAAGCATTGTTTCTCTGTAAATTCTCCTGAGTTGTTTGGTTTGTACCTCCCCACCTCCCAGGGCTGGAGCAGTGCCTACTCAATAGAGTCTGTGATCATGCAGATCAGTGCCACACTGGTGAAGGGAAAAGCACGAGTGCAGTTTGGAGCCAACAAAGTAAGGAGCTTGAGCCTGGGGTTGAAGGGACCAGTTGGAGCTAAATGCAGCTTGGGGTTGGCAGGCAGCACTGCCTGCCTGGAGGGGCCGGGAAAACATGGCCTCTGGGCTGGTGGCGTTGGATGAGCAGGGCCTCGGCCTGAGGGGTGTCCTAAGACTTGGGGGTAGGGGGTTAGGTGTGGAGTGGAAGACTGGAGTTGCCCTGCAAAGGGGCCTCCTGGTGCAGGCTACACAGTGTGTTACCAGCACACCATGCTGGGAGCAGGGGTTGCTGGGTCTCTGGGTGGCAGCCTGTGGAAGGTGAGGGCAGTGAGGCCATGGCCTGATGCAGTGGCTTCCTCTCCACAGTCTCAGTACAGTCTGACAAGAGCACAGCAGTCCTACAAGTCCCTGGTGCAGATCCACGAAAAAAACGGTGAGGCTGGAGCCGGGATTCAGGAGACTCCTCTGACGCTGACCAGGCCTGAGGTTTTCGCTTCCAGCCCAAGAGCAAGAGCCCCTTTCTCTCGGTTTTTGAATCTTAACATCCATTGACAGGGCACCTATCCCTGTTCTCCAAAGAAGGGCTGAGGCCCTTGCCCTCTCAGGAAAGCACGAAGGTGCACGCCATGACGCATCTGGCGCTGCCCTTCCTTCTGCCCTGTGAGAAAGCTCTTCTCACTCCTCCGTGCCACAGGTTGGGCGCATTCTCCCTTTCTTTATATGTAGTTCTTCAGGCGGGCGCCGTGTCCGCTTCCCACCTCCCCCCACACCGGGAAGCCGGTCCTAGGACCTTGCGGCCTGTCTCCCTGCATGTCTCAAGTGGCTGGGGCCGGGCTGGTGGACGAACCTCCACCTCACTGACTCTCGGGTTCCTTTGCAGGCTGGTACACACCCCCAAAGGAAGATGGCTAACCCTGGAGGGCCGCCCCTCCTCCTTCCCCAGGCACCACTGGACCAATTACCTTTGAATGCTGTATTTGGATCTCACGCTGCCTCTGTGGTTCCCTCCCTCATTTTTCCTGGACGTGATAGCTCTGCCTATTGCAGGACAGTGATGGCTATTCTAAACGCTAAGGAAAAAACCAAACACAGAACTGTCTCAAGTACACAAGACTGACTTACAGACCAACCAACCACCTGGCTGGAACCCTTGCTAGCAGGCATTCTTATAAAAGAAAACTTTCAAGCCTCCTTATATTGCTGGAAATTCAGCTGTGCTCCAGACTAGAGCCTCCTTACCTATGCTATGGATTTTTAATTTATTTTCTCTTATTTCATGTACACTGCTTTTTTTGGTTACAGTGTATGATGGATGTGTATGGAAAAATGTATCTTTGGGAAAAAACAATTACAGTTTGTTAATTTGAAGATGCTGTCTTGACTCATCTTTATTTTTATTCCTACATCCCACCCCACCCCCATCCCTGAACGACTTGGCGGTGGGGGAGGGGTACCCAGTCCACTGTGGCTCGGTAGAGGAGAGGCCGCACTCTGCTGCTGAAGCTGAGAAAGGTGGAGCTGAAGCACATGCCTGGCTCGCCCCCAGATTCTCCTGAAGGCCGCAGGAGCGACCAGCACTCGCCCCCTTGGAATGCAGAGCCTGGCCTGCTGTGCTCAGTGTAGTAGGTGGAAGTGACCTTCATTTCTAGGACTTCTCTTCTAGACACAGATGTTTTCAAATTTCTAAGAAAAAGGAAATGAAGGAGGCTTAAGAGGCTGCTTCGTAGAACTGCCTGTAAATGAACTGAGCGGGGCTGGGGGCAGTCTGCGTGTGGTCTTTTCTGGTCTTGGCAACATGCTGTGTGCGTAGCTGTAACTGCTGTTCGTTGGCTCCCCTCTGCCAGAAAGTGGCTTCTCACTGGCACTGGCACTGAAGGTGAAGGTTGGTAGCTCCCTTGCTACCACAGAAGTGATTTGTTTGGCTTCGAGAATTGTGGATCCTTTTTAAGCCATTCCCTTCTGGTGGGCCCTATGGGGGGGTAGCTTTAAGGGGCTGGTTCTATACTCCTGCATCCTCACCCCAGGCTCTAGTAACTGCTGAGGAGTGGGGGAGGAGAGTGGGGTGGGGAGTCTGCTGAGCCAGGTCTGTGGGTGCTGTGTTGTCTGCACGTGCCATGGTAAGAGTATGGGGATGACTGCGTATGACACATGCCGCCCGCCTCCCCTGGTCGGTAGGCTCGCTCTGGGGCAGACAGCCTCCTAAGACTGACAGTGCCCACAGACAGGATGATACTGAAATGACAGCGGCCCGGCATAGTTCCATGAGCCCGGAAGCCCAAAAAGCCCAACCTCAGGATAGCTGTAGGGTGCCAGAGTTCTCCAATGCTTTGTTAAAGACTCAGCAATTTTACCATCGGTTGTTTTTCCATTTTCTTTTAAGGGATTTTAATGTCTTGCTGCTTCAGGTGGATGGGCAGTTCACCAGTCCCACTCACTGCTGCTCTAAATTCTATCAACACCCACCTGATGAGGGGTGCTAACATCAGCTGAGGTGGAGACAAAGAGGGGACCCAAGGGGAAAACTTTCATAGAGCTGACATCCAGTTTTCAAGGCCTCTGTGGCTTCCTTCTGAACTCACCACCAGTCCCGCTGGAATGTAGTTTGTTTTTAGTCATGTGTACTGTGAGCTGTCCTCTGTATAACGTATTTTGTAATGTATTTTTTTCTCATCTACCAAAGGATGAAACAAATAAAATTATTTAAATAGCTTGGCTCTAATATAATTATTTAAAGAAACCACAGGATCCGTGTTTACCTGCCCTCCTGTGAACTGTGGGACACTGACTCCAAGGGAACTCTCCACTTTTCTTGTCAAACCCACCATTCCCTTTTATGACCTTCAGCTGCAGATTCTAATGGAGTAACAGCATAAAAAAGGATCAAGGCCTTATCCAGAACCAGTCTGCTCTTCAGTAAGAAGCCTGCACCTCATGTGTGCCTCTGCATCTCAGGTGGGGCTCACGTGTCCAGTGTCCATCGACGGAGCTAAGCGAGTATGTGTGGCCTTCCTCAAACTCACTGCAGTGTCCCAGAGGCAGGGCCAGGGATGGGTGGCTGGACAGAGGAACTGATCACCCCAAACTGGTGAAACATGCCAACATTTATTCACCAGTGTGACAGCTCACTGGTCAAATCTCCCCACCTGATTGTACAATAAAATGCCAGGAAAATGAAACAGGCCCTTCTATTCTCCAAAATCTTTTAGGGCAGTTTATAGTATGCTCTGGGGGGTGCAGAAAAGAGGAAAGGACACATCAGCGGCCTCAGGCTTTCAACATAATGGAATCTCGCTATGTAATTCGAAAGTTCATACCAAGTTGGGGAGTGAAAACACATGAAAATCTGAGACTTCATTATCTTTTGAGGGGTGAGCTCAAGGGGGGTCAAAGCAAATGGGAATCAAGACAACCCTGGGGCCAGTGTGGCCTTTTTCACCTTCATGGCCTCAAGAGTGAAAGGGGTCCAAAGGCAAGACAAGCAGAATCTAGATCTGAGGGAGACAGGAGCCAGAACAGCTGATTACAGCTGTGTTATTTAAACTCTTCAAACTTCAGGATGTGTGGCTGGAAGAGAAAGAGAAAGAGTCAGCAGGAAAGCAGGCCTGCCCGGGCTGTCCACCCAGCCCCTTGGTAACTTCAGTTTCTTCTTCTTTTTTTATTTTTTGGTCTAACAGGATGCCTGGTAAATGCGCAGCATCCAGGCCTGGGCAACGACCTCCAGCTGAGACCCCTGGGTGGAGGGGGCAGAAAACCGGAGTTGGAGACAAGGGCAGTTACCTCCAAGTTCAAAGTGCCAGTGATTTTCCCTTTGAGGATACGATGGGTAATCTGATGTGAACTCAAAATGTCTGCAAAACAAAACACAGCAAACCCTTGGTGGCACTTCTCAGGCAGGAGAGGCCCGGGCGGGAGGCGAGAGGCCAGGGCTGTGGGCAGATGCGCAGGCCACAGACCAGCTCCTAGACAAGTCTCTGCTGGTTAGTGTTCGCTCCCTGTTGCCAGGATAAAGTGAGGTGATAAATGTTGAAAAGGTGGTGGGGGGGGGTGGGAGGGGGAGAGGGCAAAGTAGAGCATATGAAAGGAGGAGGCATTATTATTGTTAAAAAAACAGAGATCTGGGATTTTACACTGTAATGAGGGAAATTCTACTGGGGACAGAATATTGTGTGCACTCAGCTCTACTCAGAGTTGGCCAGAGAGACAGAGAGAGTAAAAAGCAGAGGCTCTCCCGGTGATGAGCATTTTCACAAGCTGGAACATGGAAGGGCAAGGCTCTGTCAGAACCCACCTTCCTCCCCTCCCATCGTCCTGCCAAACGCTGGATCTGTCTATGTGCATGAGAATGGCTCATGAGAAAGACCTCGGGTCCAACTCCAGTGAGATGAAGTGAGAAAGTTCCTTTCATTTTCCTGACCCTTACCATCCTCATCCATAAAGAGAAGAAGTTGCACACCTGCCCGCCTGCCTCTCAGGGCTGTTTCCAAGTTCACATGCAAGGTGAGCACACCTGTGTCTGGATGGGACGCTCTGGACCCTGACAGGCTGGCAGGTGTGCTTTGGGACACGGATATCCTCTTCACCCTCCAACACCCACGCAGGCCCACCTGGACCTCTTCCTGCAGTGACACAGGACGACCTCTGGGTGGTGCCCCTGACCACGGGGCACAAGTGCTGACAGCCTCCCAGGGAGCCCAGGCCTTGTACTTTGGGGAAATGCTTTCCTGTGCGGGCTGGTATGGGAGGGCGGGGGTGTTTCTTCACCTCCACATCTCCTGATCCCCCAAAGCATTCTTACATCCTTCAGATCTCCTCCAACCCGTCTTGAGAAGGGGCAAAGAGGCCTCTTCCTTTCAAGGATGTGGAACCTGAGGCCCTGACACGGAGCTCATCTAAAGTAACAGCACATCAGAAGAGACTCCAGTCCAGTGCTCTAACCCCCACTATTTTCAGATCCTCCTTTTCATCCCGAACAATTCTCTCCCAATGAAATCTTAAGCAAAACAGTCCATAAAAGAGATGAAAACTGAGCAGCTCAGCAGAAGTGGCCTGGGAAGTCTGCTCACTCTTCCCTCCTCTCAGAGAGCTCGGCTTTGGGCCAACACCCATGGGCCCTTCCAATCTAGGGGCTCACAGACCCCAGGTTTGAAATCCAATACTCAAGAGGCAGTTTTGCAAGGGGCAAGTGTGAAATGTGAATCAGATCAAAAGAAGCTGAAGGGAACGCTGTGGCCATGGCGGCCCCCAGGCATCTACATGAGGTCCTGAAGGCGGCCCTGCCTCTACCATCCCGGAAGTTCTCACAAGGAGGGAGGACAGCTCACCTTTCTCCAGCATGAATGGTTGCGTCAGAGGGGGGATGGTCCAGAAGGCGTCACTGTTAAGGCTTCTCAGGGACTGCACTGGGATGGTAGCTGACTGGCCAAAATCAATGAACATGACCACAGCCCAGGTGTCCACCCGGTCCAGCACCCAGCACCTGGCAGAAGGGAGGGAGTGAAGAAGGCTTCAGGAAACAGAGGGCTGTTCCACCGAGTGCCATGCCAGTGGGCCTCAGGAAAGGGCTGGAAGTTCTAGGCTAAAGGAGCAATGAGTGTCCTTTGTTCTTCCCCTTCCTTGCGTGGAGGGTGGTGGGGATGATAGAAGGCAGAGAAGATTCCAAGAGTAAGCAGCAGGAAAAACCAGAGCCAGAGGAAGGAGAAGGGACGAAGCGCAGAAGTGCCCGGGCCTGTCCCTCCAGCCCCACACACCTGTTCCAGGCGTGGCCGTAACGGCCCAGGTGGTACTCGGCCAGGCAGCGGGCCCCGCGCTGCACCGCAGCGTCCTGCAGGTAGGGCTGCTGCTCCTCCGCCGCAGCCAGGGTGCTAAACAGCGCCTGCATGTTCTGGTGCAGAGACTGTGGGTGGTACAAAAGCAGGGGTCTCGCATCTCTGCAGATGTCACCCACCACAGAAGCACCGGGAACCCCGAGGGAACAAAAGGTACCAGGTGGGAGAGAGGAGACAGAAGCAGGGTTCCAACTGTGGCCCTGCAAACTCCCACCGCCCCGACCAGGCTCCCACCACACTCAGGCCAGAAAGACACCACTAGGAGGCAGGGAAGCCTGAGGGGACCACTGACAAACCTCAGTGACATGCATAGCCCAGAAGAATGGCGTCTGCGGGACAACGCTGGTCACCAGCAGCCCCACCTCCCCAGTGACTCTGTTGACCGTGGTCAGCCAGTGCAGGTCCTGGAAGCACTCCCTCAGAAGCTGCACCAGGAAAGAACCCCTGGGGGAAGAGCAGGGGGATGGGGAAAGGGAGTGAACCCCCAAATCACCCCATCCTGTGCTGAAGTGCACCCCAACCTGCTGCTCCACTCCATCTGTGAAACCCCATGTGGTTTAGCCAGGCAAACTCACTGCTCTAAAGAACACGCAAACCCACATTTAGGAGCATTATTCTGCACCCTTGACATTAGGAACTGTGTCCACTGTTAGAGCAGATGTGGGTGCGACAATCTTGTGGCATCTGGGGTGAGGAGAGTCACGAGCCCTCATTGTACAAACATGGAAAAGGGTTTAAGTCACTGTGGATCCTTAGAGCCTGGTTCTGATGCAGGAACTCCCGAAGTGCCCCCCTTCCCCAGAATTCTCCTCCCCGCCCCCAGCCTCTTCAGCACCTCCCCCCCATTGGGCCATTTCTATAGGGGCCATTTGCTCTGGCAGGTCTCAGTCTCCTCCATTCACCTCATTTCCATGGGAACTGCAAAGAAGGGTGTCCTGGGTTTCTCAGTCTTGCCGAGGTCACCGGCGGCTTTAGTTGGGAGCTGCGTACAAGCTGGAAGCAGAATATGGGGGTCCAGAGACACCAGCACTGCCCTAGAGGATCGTACCCTGCCCCCAGGAGGCCCTGCCCACTCTCAGAGGCTGGACAGGATGTGCCACAGAGCCACACCCCCTCTATCTCAGCCCCCAGCTCCACACTTGAGGGGGCTGAGGGGGAGGTGTGCCTGGGTTATAGTCTTTAATCAAGAAAGCATCCTAGAGGGATGGAAAAGGGAAGCGTCTACACCAAGGGCTGACAGGACAAGCTGGGAGGGAGGGTGGAGAAGTAAATTAGGAGGTGCAAGGACATGTCCTGGGAACAGGGCGGCTCAGCATCTCACCAGGGGCTTTGGCAAATCCTTCTCCAGAAGCCTCCGAAACCTAGGGAGGAAAAGAGGATGACCGCTCAGGCCGCAGGATCTACCTCACCACTTCCGTGAGGGTCCAAGGGGATTTGCCCGATGACCATGTGGGCTTTAGTTGAGTTGGAGACACCCACCCACCTCCATTGTCCTGGGATCCTTCCCCAACCCCAGAAAGAGGGGCAGGATGGAGGGAGGCAGTAGCCAGGGTGCTGCAGCAGGACTTACAGTCATGGAGGCCTGGGAGGTCGCTGCTGGCGCTTCCTGGGGGGGTGGGGGGGTGGGAGAAAAAGAGGTGGAAATGGCTGTGCTGCGGGGAGGGGAGGCAGAGGCAGAGGCCAGGTGGCCTGCTTCTCACTCCAGCCCATAGTCCCCAACCAGGCTGGCTCCCTTCTCAACATTGTTCTCACCCAGAAACCTTCAGTCCCAGTTAAACCTGTGTCTGCACCCACCCTGCCTCTCCGCTGCTTTGCGCTAACCCCGTGATCCACATAGAAGGCGCTGCTGTCGGATGGACACTCAAGGCTACAGTCCTACCAGGAGCCCCTATGTCAGTTCACTTTCCTTCTCCACTCGCTCTCCCAACAGGCTCAGGGGAAAGTGCAAGCAGTCCTTTGGGTGGGGGCAGTGGGGGCGTCTCATCACCCACATGACGGCACTCCCCCACTCTCTCTGCCATCCCTCTGTTACCATGGCCAAGTGCCCTCTGAGAGTGCTGGGCCCTCCTCCAGCTAACCCTGCCGGTCCCACATACCCTCTGGCAATGACCTCTTTGCTCCCCCTAGTGAAAGTGTGGTCTAGATTCCTGTCTACTTCCGCTCCTTCCCAGCAGGCTTTCCCAGAATGGCCCTTCCTGGGCCCAGCCAGGACCTCATGTTGCCACATCTTTCATGTTCTCCACCCTGAATTTACCTTGGTGCCCCACTCCTCTCCTTTCCTCTTGGCTTCCTTAAGATTGCACACATCTGCTTCTTTCCCTGGCTGGCCCTTTGCAGCTCACCCAATAAATGCTGGCCCATCCCAGGACTCGGTGCCCTCCATGGGCATCTCCACAGTCTCTCCTGACTCCCAAATCCAGATCTCCAGCCCTACTCACTCTCTGGGATTCAACTCAAATATAAAGATGCCCTCTTGGCAGCACAGCTAAGAGGTACCCCAGCTAAACAGAAGCTCCCCAGACAGCTTCTTAGTATGAGTAAACTGCATCATTACTACCTAGTGGTTCAGGCCAAATCCCTCTCTTCTAGCTCCCCACCTCAAACTGATCAGCAAGTTAAGCCATCGCTTCCTCTAAGACATACCATTACCCTTGTACTCTTCTCTCCACACCCACCACCCCACACTAGCCATCTCCATCTTTTGCCAGGACCAGAGCAATGTGGTCAGTTCCCCGCTGATACAATGGCCCCCAAGTCAATCACTGCCCAACCGACAACATGCTCTCTTCCAGACAAAAAGCAGGCACCATAACCCCACATCACAACCTTCCAACAACTTCCAACTGTGCTTACAAATAAACCCCAAAGTCTCTACTTGGCCTTGCCCCGGCTGCCACGAGTGACCATCCTTCCCTGACCTTCTGTCTGCCCCTTCTCTCCTTCACCCGTGTCAAACCTTGGGCACTTGTAGATGTTCCTGCTGCCTGGAAAGTTCTTCCCCTGGTCTGACTTGTCACCAAGATCTCAGTTGACATGGTGCTTCCTCACAGAGAGGCCTTCCTAAGAACCATCTAAAGAAGTGACCCTCATGTCACTTTATTTAATTCTTGGGTTAGTACTTACTAACTGGCATTTTCTTATCTATTCACTAGTGTGATATCTATAGATATCTATCTCTATCCATCTTCCTGCTGGACTATAAGTATTAAATGAAAAATTACATTTGTCTTGACAATTTTCTCAATTGCTGAGGTAGTAAGAGTGTTTAGTACATATTAAGCTCTTGGTAAATATATATTTAATGAATGGAGAGGATGGAGAGAGAGAGAGAGAGAGAGAGAGAGAGAGAGAGAGAGAGAGAGAGAGAGAGAGAGAGATATCAGGGACAACTTTCTAGCCCTTTAACCCTGGTTTCCTCTTCCACTCAATGAAACCCACTTGCACTGACAGGACGGGATACACAGGAGGTGCTTAAAGGGCAGGTCCTGCAGTCACATTGTCTAAGCCCCAGTCTCCAGTCTGGACCCAGTTCTGATTCCTTTGCTCCAGGCTGGTGCTCTCACCTGCAGGGTGGCTCCGTACCTGTGCCCGCCACTGCCACTAAACTCACTTGCTCAGCAAAGTCCTGAGAGGAGGGCCTGCAAAGCAAGCCCACCTTGGGGCTGCTCGCTGTCAGCCAGGAGACCCCACCCCAGCTCCACGCTAGCCTGTGCTGCCACTACCTGCTGCCGCCCAGTGGCAGTGCTAAAACTGTCCTTGAGCCAAGCACCAAAGGTGTATTTTTATTTAGACTTTTCTAAATACCAGCCCCAAGAAACAATTAGCAGCAGCAGCAGTCTCCAAGGCTCACATTGAGTCACTCCTCAGTGGCTATAAAATGTGTGTGCTCCACACACACCCCATGAAGGCCACATCCTGGTGGGAGCAGCAGACTATAAGTATTGAGGAGGTGTGACATCAGGGGAGCCTAAGAGCAGTGAAGAAACACCAAGCAAGGAGGGGAGGGAGCATCCAAGGCGGGGAGACAGCTGAATAAAGACGTGGAATTAGTGAGAAAGCAACCCCACAGGCTTTGGGAGAAGAGCCTTCTGGCTGAGGACAGCAGGTCCAGAGGCCCTCACGTAGGGATGTGCTTGGCGTGTTTGGGGAACAACATGGGGCACTGTGATAAGACACTTCCACTTTCTACCTGGACCACCTGAGACAGGGCTTCCTGCTTCTACCTGGCCCAGGATAGATAAGAGCCTATCTGCAGGGTCCCTTTCAAACTTAACCTAGATGACTGGGTGGGTCACATCCATACAGCAGAATACCACCGAGCAAAGAAAGAATGGTTGACAGCAGTGGGGGTGGTGGCGAGAGGATTCACCAGAGACAGAGGAGGGAACAGAACGGGCAGACTGACTGAAAACACCGCTAAGGGTAGCAGCAGGTGAGACAAGAGAAGTCTGTTGTGCCATGTGGGTAGCTCCCTGGCCGGGGATCAAACTCACGCTGCAGTGGCTGCCAATAGCTTCATAGTGCTGAGCCTTAACCTCTTACGCCACCAGGTAGGCCCAAGAATCACACACATTTACACGAACTCTAGAAAAGATCAACCTCCCCTAAAGTGGCAAATAGCAGGTCTATGGTGGCCAGGGACCATAAAGGGGGGAATTACTGACCGCTCAGGGGACAGGAGGACCTTTTGGATGATTGAAACAGTCTATGTTTATAATCGCCATCACATGGCTGCATGCATTTGTCAAAATTCATCAAACCATATACCTAGAGTGTGTTCATTCTACTTTCTGTAAGTTATACTTACATCAAAAGTTGTTTTTTTAATGTAAAATGGCTCAATCTTGGTTATGTCCCCACTCAAGCCCACCAGTTTTCTCATTATTATTATGTCTATATAAATATCTATCGCTGCTAAATCTGGCAGGGTGTTATCAATATTTCTATTTTGATACAATCTTTTCTCTAGGAGTTGACTATTTTTTCCCCCACTCCATTTATATTTCCTTAAATCTCTGGATGAGTTTCCTCAGTCTCTGTGGATGTTTATATGATACCTTTCCCTTCAATTTACCACTTTTCTTTCCTGGAGTCCTGTTTTCTCTTGGTCTGGCTGCTGCACCATAAGAGTTCTACCCTCTCTGTTATCACCTGAGGAGTCTCATGTCCCTCTCCTGGTTTGGCTAGCCTGCTCCCAGAGTTCATCAATTGTTGGCTTATTGCTTCATTTTATTGGCGCACATCCTTCCAGTGTTTTCTGAGAACAGGTACATGGAACAAACATTGCTTGAGACCCTCTATTTATGAACAAGTTTTTAATTCTACCTGTATTCTAGAGTAATTTAAAATAGATTTGTGATTGGATATTATGTTCCTACAGAATTAAATGACACCACCCAATTCCCCCTCTGCCTTCAAAGTGGATTTCTCTTTATCCCAATATTCTAAAATATTTCCTTAAGGTGCATGGGAATAGGATTTTCATTTTCCCATTCATTATCCTGGGCACTCATTGTTTGCTTCAATCTGAAAACACATAACCTTCTCTCCTGGGCGATTCCATTACCTCATATAACACTCCCCATTCTACGACCCCCAATGTACCCCCTAATATGTTTACCTGAACACATCCTGGATGTGTATGTTACACCACTGAAGCTAATCCTCTGATTTTACCTGTTCTCTAAATTTTACCACAAAATTGTTTCATGATAAATCTCTCCCAAAAGCAATGATAAAACTTGACAAAACTGTCAAAAACAGCCATTTCCGGACTCTGGGAACTGACCAGAAGCATACAACAAATTGAAAGTGTCTGTCTATTAAATCACAGTAAGAACAATAAACTATGGGCCTTTGGATGAGAACAGTTGTGTGGAGGATGTTGTGGTCTAGGATTTCTCCCACTCCCGGGAAGGGCAAAGCTGTGGAAACGGGCCGTTTTGCAGGGGGCTGACTTTACTGGAGCAGATAGTGGGAAAGGCACAGAGCCCAGATGCCGTGAACACCCTCCCGTCATGGTGAGCCTTTGGGAGAGGCCTACTTGCAGCCTGAACCCGCTATTCTACTGGCTCCCTGCGCCCTCACCTCTGAAGTGCCTGTTCTGAGGCCTTGCCCAAATTTCTGTTAGGCTATTTCCTTTTCTCATCGATATTTAGCTTTTACTTTGTCCATCCTTTTGCTTGTTTTTGAAAAAATATTCTGGGTCTTAGTGTAGAGGGCCATAAACTTATTCTGTAAATATTTTTTGCATCGGGGCCACCTGGTCGCCAGCACAGTGGCTCAAGTCAGCTGCTGCAGTATGAATGCAGGGACAAAACAGAAATGGCTGGGGCAGACAACTCTGCTAAAACTTTATTTGTGGATACTAACATGTGGATTTCATGCCATTTTCATGTGTCATAAAATAGTATTTTTTCTCTTGATTTTTCCCAAACCATTAAAAATGTCAAATCCATTCTTAGAACTTTCATGCAGGGAAGAAAGCACAGATGTAGCCTCTCCTATTCCTTCTGCTCAGCACAACTACATTCTCCGGACATTGATAGCAAACAAGCACAAGAAGAGTGTGACCCGAGGAGCAAGGTGCAACACAGTGATGACGTC